GGGCGGAACTTTCTCCGCGCCACGTTTGCGAGTTTCCGTCGGGACTTGGAGCAGAAGTTGAAGGAGGAGGCGGACACGTTGACGGACAAGATGCGAGGGTTCATGAGCAAAGTGCTGGCGAGGTTTTTGAACGACTTTGAGGCGACTTTGTGGGACGACGAGTCGTATGTGTGGGACGCCGAGCGGTTGTTGACGCCGGCGGATTTCCCGAGATTCGTCGTGGGCGACGGGAAAGGCAGGCCAGGTGGCGGCGGTGGCGGTGCTGAGGCCGGAAAGTCGAAACGGTGGGTGTGAAAATTGTATGTACAAGTGCCTCTACCTGTTTGAAGATTGTTTTTTGTTTTTTTTGCTGCATTATTTGATTTCATTTTTTTAGCTGAATACCGCTGAACTTTTGTCCTAGTTTTAGAAAATTGTTCAGTATTTAATTTTTGCCTCTTGGATAGATCTCAGCCTTTCTTTTGTTGTGTGCCTGAAAGAATATTGATGGGGTTTCCATGAATATTTTAGGAAAATTGCTTGTGTTGAACAATTTCCTTGAAAAATTGTTTGAAAACTGCTGAGAAATTTCACATTTGTCCTGGCAATTTTTTCTGATCAACGAAAACAATTGGTGGCTTTTTATACTGCTGTAAATAGGAAATACTGGTGAAACTACTACTTATAATCTTCAGTACTCAGCTGACGGTCTTTTTTGAATCATTAAAATACCGGTAATCTTTTTCATGCAGCAGACTTTGCCTTGGGCTAAGTCCATTATCCGAAGCGCCGATTTCTTACTGGAATGTAAAAGTTTTCCTTAGCGAAAAATAATCACTTCAAGCAATTTCTTTGTGAAGTTCTTTGTCCGAGTACACTCCATCTTGTTGACATTTTGCGTAACTGATTTCTTTTTGAAATGGATCAAGTCCATTAACTGAAGCACCGCTGTTCAATTGGGCTGTAAAGGTTGTCATGTGTCGGAAATTGCTCAAATTTTCAATCCATTTATTCGGCATGTTTTCGCTGAAGTACTATACTTCATTCAGTTTAATTTTTCGATGGCGGACGTCTCATTGAAATGCTTCAAGTCCGTTAAGTGAGGCACAGATGTTTAATTGGGTTGACAGGTGAAAATTTCCTTAATTTCAAGCAATTTCCTCGTGGAGTTCTTCGCGCAATTAGTTTATTCATTGGAATTTTTAGATGACCGACTTTTCGTGAAATTTGATCAAGTCCATTAA